ATCTCGGTCAATGATCAATCATTAATAGCAAAATGGTCAATCTACATTAGAAAGAGTATTGTGGATCATATGAGAGTGATAGAGATCATTTCATTTCTCATAAAAGTATATCAAACGATGACTCTATAAAAAGGTTGGGAACAAAGAATCACCTTACAAAAAATGATATTAACAAATAAAATAAATAATACAATATACATGATTTTTTATAATATATTCTTAAGATTTATGGGGACATGATAAGATACTAAAAAAATATAATCATCCAGAAACTGTGATTTACGGGGACATTGACAAATACCGTCCATTTTGTCTGTCATCGTGGGCTGAAAATGAACAAAAACCGACCCATATTTAAGGGGATAAAGGGCATTTAAATGCCCAACTTTCAAATTTCGACCAATTTAGGCACAACCTTTTGTCTGAACTATTTAAAAACATTCTTTGCGTTGACTTACGATTAAAATGCCAAAGTTTCGTTGACTACGCCAATATGGGCACGTCGTTAACTAGCTTAACAACCCGATTAAACCCCGTTACTATGCCGTCTAATTTGTTTGTTATACCAAAACGACATCGTTAAAAGTTTGATTAAATCCCCAAATAAAAAATAACCAAATTCAAAATCCCCAAATCGAGCTTAAACCCTAAATTTCATAGTCTCAATCCGATTTTGGCAGTTATGCTTCATCATCGTTTGTTGCTTCGGGTTGAGGTTCTTTCGATTTCGGCTTCGAAACCTTCTTCTTCCATTTTCCTCTCGGCATTTCAATTCAGCCGAGAGGAAAATGGAAGAAGAAGGTTTCGAAGCCGAAATCGAAAGAACCTCAACCCGAAGCAACAAACGATAATGAAGCTCAACTGCCAAAATCGAAAGAACCTCAACCCGAAGCAACAAACGATGATGAAGCTCAACTTCAGGTTGTAGTTGCAGAAGAAGATGATTGTGCGGTTTTTGGTGATGATGATTGCAACAATATAAGTGATGGAGGTGATGATGAAGAAGATGCGGCCAATACGAACATTGTAGGAGGAGTTGAAGAAGAGGGATGCGAAGACTTATTATTACACTTTGGAGAAGCTGGGAGTGATGATGATGTGACTGATGTAGATAGTGGAGATGAAGTTTAGGATGATGAGAAGATTCCCGATCCTTTGTCATCGAACTCTGAAGATGATGACAATGGAGAGAAGGAAAAAGATAGGCGCCGAGAGAGAGAAGCTGAAGACCCTGAAGTAATCCTAGCTCTGGGAAAAACGTTCAATACTGCAGAAGATTTCAAGCTTGCGTTTGTAAGGTATCCTCTGAAAACAAGATATGACATCAAGCTATATCGATCACAGTCACTAAATCTTGGCGCGAAGTGCTCTGATAAGGAAGTAGAGTGTCCTTGGAGAGTTTATTGCTCTTACGAGAAGAGGAAACATAAGCTGCAAACAAAGGTGTTTGTCAATGAGCATGTATGTGTAAGATCAGGGCACTCGAAGATGTTGAAACGTTCAGCAATTGCGTGGCTATTTGCAGAAAGGTTGAGAGTCAATCCGAAGATGACAAAGTATGAGATGACTGCTGAGATAAAGACAAAATATAATTTGGAAGTAACAGATGCTCAATGTGCAAAGGCAAAGTCGAAGCTAATGAGAGTGAAGAAAGCTAGCCATGAAGCCCATTTTTCACGAATTTGGGATTATCAAGAAGAGGTTTTCCAGTCTAATCTACACACGAAATTTGAGATCGAGACTATTCCATGGACGTTGTTATGGTTGTTATAATGCACAACGCGAGTCCTGGAAAGCAAACTGTAGACCTATCATAGGTTTAGATGGTGCTTTTCTGAAATGGGACATAAAGGGACATTTATTAGCTGCGGTGGGAAGAGATGGAGATAATAGGATAGTTCATATTGCTTGGGCTGTAGTCGAAGTAGAGAATGATGATAATTGGGACTGGTTTGTTAGACAGCTATCAGGAAGCTTGGGTCTTGGTGATGGAAACAAAGTTGCAGTCATATCAGATCAACAGGCGGTTAGTATCATCATCCCCAACGTTTTATGTATTGTTTTAAGGTTTTAATGTATTATTTTGCAATTGGGATATCTAACAGTTTATGTATCATTTTGTAGGGACTTGTGAAAGCTGTGCGTAACCTTCTTCCTGCAGCTGAACATAGACAATGTACTAGACACATTATGAAAAATTGGAAGAAAGAGAGCCATGATGTTGAACTATAACGGCTGTTTTGGAAGAGAGCACGCAGCTACACCATATGCGAATTTACAGAAAAGTTTTTAGCTTCTCTACGCCTAACTAATCCGCAGTCATGGTCTAGGACTTACTTTAGGATAGGTTCTTGCTGCAATGATATTTTAAACAACTTGGGTGAATCTTTCAATAGAACAATTTGGCAAGCAAGAAAAAAGCCTTTATTAGACTTATTAGAGGATATTAGGCGACAAGCTATGGTTCGTAATGCTAAAAGATTCATTGTTGCGGGAAGATTGAAGTCAAAATTCACAAAGAGAGCTCATATTGAGGTAGAGAAGATGATAGTTGGGTCGCAGCATTGCATCAAACACATGGCTATACATGATTTGCATGAGGTTAAATTACATGGGGTCAGTTATACCGTAGATATGAAGAACTTCACGTGTGGTTGCAAAAAATGGCAAATGGTTGGTATACCATGTGCTCATGTTGCAAATGTAATCATCGGTAAGAAACAAGCGGTTGAAGATTATGTCAATGTCTACTATACACAAAGTATGTGGCATGAAACTTATAGAAATGGTATAAGGCTTGTCCAAGGAACGAAATTGTGGTCTAGATTGAATAGATTGCCTGTCCTGCCACCACCATGGCGATTTGACAATCCTGGAAGGCCAAGCAATTATGCCAGGAGAAAATCTAGATATGAATCTGCTACTTCTTCAAGCACAACAAAATTATCACGACAAAGGAGAGTTATGACATGCTCCAATTGTTTGAAAGATGGACACAACAAGCAAGCTTGTTCTAATCCGATTATTCAACCTCCTCCAAAAAGACCAAGAGGTCGACCTAGAAAGTATCAGGTTTGTTTCTTTCTTCATCTCGATTGCATACATTAAAGAAACATTTTGACAATATAAATGCATACATTCTTTATCTGAACTAGGAAGGAGTGCCACCACAACAAGGAATTCCAACACAACAAGGAGTTTCATTCGGAGGAGTTCCACTTGGTTCACAACCAGAAGTAGTTTCAGACGCTCAAGGATCACAGACAAATGCACCTCATGGATCACAAGCTAATCGAGCTCATGGAACGCAACCTAATGGATCGCAAGCTAATCAAGCTCAAGGATCGCAAGCTAATCGAGCTCATGGATCACAAGCAACTCCAGCTCAAGGATCACAAGCAACTCCAGCTCAAGGATCACAAGCTAATCAAGCTCATGGATCGCAGTTCGAAGATTCTCAGGCTCAAGGTTGGGCATCATGGTTTGGATGTTCAAACTAAGTTTCAAATGGGATAATGGTTTGAGGTATTGTAGTCTTTTCTGGTGTTTTTAAGGGATAATGATTTCTGTTTGTGAACATGGTGTTGTTGTTTTATGAGATCGGAATGGTTTCTCTTGTTTTATTTTGTTGTTATGAGATCAGGTACTTCTGTTGTTTGCGAACATGGTGTTTATGTTGTTTATTTTTGGTTGATTGTGTTTATGAATATGTTATATATCAATCAAATTTTTCTTTCACCATCATATTTCTTTGTTTCATTGCAATCACAAAACCTGTTATAGTGAGATTGAATAATGAACTCATGATTCAATTAAAGCAAAATGCATTTCATTTCATTACTAATCTAATCATAGCCAAAGATACAATTGATGGCAAACATTAAGCTTCAATCCCAAAACAAAGTATGATAAAGCCAAATCTGAACAACACTAAGAGACTACAATGACATAAACTACTAACTAACACTAAGATAAACCATTCTTCTCATACGAATAACTAACATTGAATTTGGTCTCATTTCCTTTGCCAGTCACCAAGTAAACAATGACAAAGGTCATGATGAAAAGACAAGCAAAACAAACTATGTTCATCACTCTCTACTTCCTGATTTCCATTTTGCTCCACATTGCATCTTCCTTCAATCCATCAATCAAAAGCTTCAACTCTTCAATCTCAGTTTTTGCATTGCTAATTTCACTTTCAATTCTTCTTATTCTTGGTAAACCATTTTCAAGCTCTTCTAGTACAGCTTCTTCGACCTATTTAAACAAATGCCCCTGGTGCAAAGACAAAATAAAATTCATACTGACACAGATTTACGGTCTAAGCACAAGAAAAAAAACTGAACCCAACAAAAGCAACATCATAAGCTACTTACATCTCTTTTTTTTTTAAAGCATGCTTTAGTCTCTTTGCCTTATATAGCGGTAGAAAAGTTTTCTCGGATTCTCTTGCGTCTTCGATATCAACATCATTACACCTAAACCACACACACTTTGACGGGAGGCCACAATCTTCGATGCCGGATGATTAGTCAGAAGAAAAAGCTATTGATGATTGAGAAAATAGAAGAGAAATCAAGAGGAATTGTGCCTAAATTAACTAAAATTTGAAAGTTGGACATTTAAATATTCTATTTTTCCTATTTAAGTTAGCCTTTCCTCTTTAAAATCAACTGGCGCCAAACAGTAAAATTGCATTTGTGTCGATTGGAGGCAAATCCACCTGTTAAATCCTTGGCGGGAAAATCAATAACCATTTGGTGAAACCTCGTTTGTCTTTCGACACCAATTTTCCCCTCCATTAACCCATATCCTTCGTCTTCTCAAACCTGACTCATATAAACAAAATCAATAATCTAAGAATAAAAATTGAAAATCAAATCACAAAGGAACCCTAATTTCCACACTCGATTTGAGTATCTTCGTCTTTCTCGCTGTCAATTTGCCCCCGGAGAGTCTAGATCTCGTTCGTTTTTCTGGATTTCTAGGGTTTTGCGATGGAAATGGAATCGACGGTGACGGAAGTTGAAAATCGGAAGACGATTGGTCAGGAGCAACCGAAGAAGCCGAATAAGCGGAAGAGAGAATCAGCCGCGATCGAGAACTTAAGTTCCGAGGAGAAAGAGGCTCAGATCTCATCGTTGAAGCAGGAGATGAAAGGGCTTTTCGAGTATTTCAGAGAAACGATGGGACAGCCTCAGACGACAGATCTGTTTTCAGGTTCGAGCGATTTCTCCTCCGTGAACTCAATGGTGGCTTTGTTGATGGAGGAGATGAGCTTGCCGTTGTCGAAGCTCGTGGATGAGATTTTCTCGAAATTGAAAGAGTCGAACGAGAGTGTCACGATGGCTTCCGTGAAGAGCGCTGTTGTTTCTGTGGGTCAGAGAGTGAGTTACGGTGTGCCTAACGCAGACGCCGATGTTTTGGAAGATGATACTGAGTCTTGTCTCTGGTGCTGGGAGGTAATTGAATCGTTCAATTCAATGATTGTTTCTTCTTTAATTAGTAGTTTTACGGTTTCCTATTGTGATTAATGTCGATGATTGATATTTAGTCTTGATAGAAGTGTTAATTTGGTGTGATTTATACTCTTCGTGATAGCATTTGATGTTTTTTTATGTAATAGACGAGAGACCTGAAAATGATGCCAAAATCTGTTCGTGGATTGCTAAAAGTTCGAAGGACATGTAGGAAAAAGATTCATGAAAGGATTACAGCAGTTTCTGGTAAAATGGTTTATCTATTTGATGATTTTCTAACGATTGTCTATATGATGTGAAGGCTTATATGCTTGTGTTGTATTCTCAGCAATGTTAGCTGCGTTACAAAGAGAAGGAACTGAAAAGTCGTGCAGATCTGAACTGAGCAAAGCTGGTGAGAAGCTTGGTAAAATACTGAGCGAGGTGGATATTCGATCGTTTATGGGTAACATGTTGCAGAAAAATAGTACAGAGATGTAAGCATCTTTAGTTAGAGCTTGGTTTATATTTGATCTCCTGTTCTTTTTTTCTTACTTGGGTTTTGTATTGGTTGTTAAGGGCTGAGAAAGATGCGAAGCGGGAAGAGAAAATGCTTCTGAAACAATTGGAGAAAGGTAAATGTGAAGCTGAGAAAGAAAAGAAGAGAATGGACCGTCAATTATTGAAAGAGAAATTGCAACATGTAAACTGATATTTTCCTTCATCGTCTTCTCATTTCTTTTCTGGTCATGTGGATTTGCTATTTGATTTTGAATTCTGGCATCTGACTGAGAATTTGTTTGTTGTTGTCAGGAAAAAGAGCAGAAGCTACTGCAGAAGGCACTTAATGACGATAAAGAAAAAGAAGAGACTGAGTCGAGAAAAAGGCTAAAGAAACAGCAAGATGAGTCAGAGAAGGAGCAGAAGCGTAGAGAGAAGGAACAAGCCGAGTTAAAGAAGCAACATGAAGTACAGAAACAGGCTTCGATCATGGAGCGGTTTCTTAAAAGGAGCAAAGACAGTTCATCGACCCAACCCAAACTTCCTTCCGTTGAAGTAACTCCTCAGATTCCGTTATGTGAAAAACCTGAGAGTGAAACTAGAACTGTTATTCAGGCCATTGACAATGCCTTTGCGACAACTTGTGAAGCTACAGTTGATGATATTCGCAGGTATGACAGTGGTTTTACTTAGGGATTGATCACTAAGGTGTCACTTTGGGTTTCGTGATCTGAGTTGTATTTTTTTCTGCAGGGCACACTTTGCTTCCTGGCGCCAGTTGGGTCATTCGCTCTCGATTTCGAAAAAGCATTGGGGGATGCGTAGGCAGCCAAAGAGTGAACTGTTTCCAAAACTTAAACTTTCTACAAATAGGGGTGCAACATCTGAGGGTGAACCTCACATGGAGAAAGAAGGGGATGAATGTGAAGAGAAAAACTTGGATGGTGTATCTGGCATTAGTCAGTCCGAGTCTTTGTCATCTGATCGTAAAAAGTCCAGGAGGGCCAAGCAGTTATTACAATTTGATAAAAGCTGCAGACCAGGCTTTTATGGTATCTGGCCAAGCCAAAGGTTAGTACTTTTTTTGAAAAAACCTTCACTATAGCGAGTAAGCTAAGAATATAGATCATTCGTTAGTTATAAGTCAGCTTAAGGTGAAACATTGATTATTTCCAAGCTAAATGCTTGGCAAAGCATGTTTTTTACTGCTATTGCATTGCTTTGTTGCATATAACATATCTCATTAGAAAAGTCATGAAGTTTCTCAGCTTTCTAATGTGACCCCCCTTTTCCTGCCCTTTAATAAAGAATGATAAAGAACATCTGAGAAAAACATAATTCTGCGGTGCTTTGCTCTTTTATGATCCTTTTGTAGAGGCTGATCCTTAAAATAACCAATCATCATTTATGTTGGATATGTGGTTCTTATCATCTTATGCGTTGATTTGGATTAACAATCATTGTAGCTAATTTGTAATGTAGTGATTGTACTCAGTGATCCTGCTAGAGTTGCAACAATACCATTTTGTATGATATACATCTGGCCATCAATTTAAAAGAGAAAATAACCTGTGTCCTCTCTCTAAGTTTGCTTACAATGGTACTGATGGTTCTTCTGTCCAACATCTACAGCCAAGTTGTAGGTCCACGTCGTCCTCTGAAAAAGGATCCGGAATTGGATTATGAAGTTGACAGTGATGAAGAATGGGAAGAGGTAATCTCACTGATTTCAACCCTTAATCATGTTGCGACAACCCAAAAACTCGACAAGAGATCACTAGCGAATAAGATGCTCTTTTTTGTTTACAGGAACAAGCTGGTGAAAGCCTTTCAGATTGTGAGAACGATGAAGAGGAATGCTTAGAAGACGGATGTTCAAAGGCTGATGATGAGGATGATAGTGAAGATGGCTTTATGGTCCCTGATGGATATCTCTCAGAAGATGAGGTAACAAAAGCAAATTTTAACTAACTTTTCATAGACTCGGAATCTAATACAGCTGATATTGCATTTCTTTCAAATTATTGGTCAGGTTTCAAGATTCATTCGCATAATTGACTCCTTTTTTTTTCATACGCTATTTATAAGGAATGGTTTAGGTGAAGAAAGATTTTAATGGAAACTGTGTGATTGTTTCTTTCAGGGAGTCCAAGTTGATAGAATGGACATAGATCCGTCTGAACAAGATGCAAGCTCGACTCCATCTAAGCAAGATCAAGAGAGTCAAGAGTTTCGCGCACTACTCCATCAACAAAAGCATCTCCAAAGTTTAACAGATCACGCTCTAACGAAAACACAGCCACTGATTATCTCTAACCTGACGCATGAGAAAGTCTCTCTCTTATCCTCTAAAGATCTAGAGGGTACACAGAAAATGGAACAGATATGTCTTCGAGCTCTCGTGGTACGAGCATTTCCCTGGTCGTCTTCTCTCATTGAGATATCCATCGATAGCTCGCAAGGCGAAGATCAAGAAACCAGAAAGTCTTATAGTCAGAGCACTCCTCCACCTTCAAGAGCAAGATCAATACCAGACTCAGATTTGCTTACAGTAGTGAGTTAATTTTTTCTCAAAAACAATTCTTATCATTATTATTATATAGTGCGACTTAGCTTCTAATGGCGTATACAGGTATCAACTATTCAATCCTGCTCTCAAGGTATCAATAGAGTAGTTGAAACATTACAGCAGAAGTTCCCTGATGTTCCAAAGTCTAAAATAAGACAAAAAGTGCGCGAGATATCAGATTTCGAAGAAAGTCGTTGGCAGGTTTGTTCTACATTTGATCTTCTCGTAACAATTTATAACGACACATTGTTGATTTTTTATTGTTGTGATGAAACAGGTAAAGAAAGAAGTATTGACAAAGCTTGGATTATCGCCGTCGCCGGATAAAAGCGTAAAGAGGCCGAAAACGATATCGACGTTCTTCTCAAAACGATGTTTGCCTCCATCGGCAAAGCCACAACCCGTAGTTGAAGAAACAGAGAGATTGGGAAATGAGAATGAATCTTAAGTCTCTTTCATGGTTTCCAGGTTTTTTTTGGTTACGTCCCTCGACAACTTACTTTTGGCTTGTGGATACAAAATATCGGATAAAATGTTTTAGATGAGGGAATGATAAATCGGTTAAGAAGGAAGTAATCTGAAATGTTATGTTCAGGTTAAATGTCGATCCACAGCCTTAAAAACTATAAATCTTTTGTACTTATTTCCATTTACAGTATCTTTTGTGCTTTTATTACAATGTGTTTTTGACCAAAGGTACGGAAAAGTTTTAGCTAAACACTATGTATCATATTAATGAAAGTTGGGTTTTACAAGAATATACAAATGCGAAACTAGAGATATACTTGTTGTTACTAAGGCAAAAAAGAAATTAAAACTTGGTAAGAAACAGAGATATTTTAGTAAAAAGAAAATTAATATTTTTATATATTAAAATAGACTTAAATCTTGTTTCTGTTTAATAATCATTCATCAGCTTTAAACTTTAAAGTTTAAACCAAATTCAATATCAAACCGAACCAAACAATACCGATTTGTTTTTATTTATAAACCATGCCAACTCTTAAACCAAATTGTCCCCTCAGACTTTTTGAAACAAAGGTACAGAAGTAGTGAAGTAAAATTAAACAATACCAATGCAAAGTGAAGCCAAGAAATCAGCAAAGGGTATCTTCAAACCATTTCTGAAACTTGATCATCTCCTTAGAAGGCAAAGCAGCCAAGACATTAACACCTTTACTATCTCCATGAATGTCCGGAAACAGCAAAACTATGTCTTTCCGATGATACACAACAGGACAGCAATACTTAGGCTTTCCCCAAGGATATCCAACCTCTGCAAATCCGAGTTTCCACCACGAAGAAACCAAAACTTCACCATGTGGAAACCCTTTGTACATCTCTCCCCAATCTATAGCGGATCTTGCGTATTCATCAGTTATCCTCTTCGACCCTTCTCCTACCATTTCTACAATCCTCCCAAACGGTTCTTCAAGCAATGCCTTACGTTTTGCCTTTGCGTATGCGGTCAAAATCGCGTTCCCGGTGTACGAAGACGGAAGCTGAGGATTCAGCCTCCCTCTGATGTCCACCGCGTAAAGAATCGTTGATTCTTGTTCAAGATCCTCTTCCTCTTCTTCTTTAGCAAAAGAGAGTGCCTTGCACCTCCATACCAAAGCGGTTACAACGTTGAAGCCCGTCACACGGATACAACCACTACTAATACTCTCCGAGGCCTTCTCCTTGAGCTTTAGGATTTGTTGAGAGGATAGCTTGAAGATGTTGAAGTCTAAGTGCTCTGAAGTGGCTTCGAAGACTGTTGTTGTCTCGGAGTCTTGGAGCTTGACAAGCTCGTGGTGTGGGAATGTGACACGTGGTGGTGTGCGAGCTTTGAGAAGAGTACGGTCGTTGCATGGAGGTGTTGATAAAGGCTTCTCACTTAGTAGAGAGGCTAAGTTTTCGAGAAATGTTTTGAAACTAAGTCCATCGAACGTTGTATGGTTTGTTGAGATTCCCATTGCAAATCCACCACACTTGAATGATGTCAGCTGCCAAAATTTTATTTTAAGTACATATTGATCTCCATGACTCAATTAATTAAAAAGGACCACACTTATAAAGTATTATTTTGAACCACTTGTAAAGTTGTAAACAACATTGTCCTATAGTTATGATACGTGAAACATTTTGTTTCGTTAATTAAAGATAAGTTTATGTACTATTTTTTCATATAAAGAATTAACAGTTTTAATTTATTCTAATATTAAAATTTTGACAAATATATTATTTCTAAACAAATTAATATTTTAAGTTTATTGTAATATTAAAAGATTGGTAAAATTATAAACACCAAAAAAGCCGGTCATAAAGAAAACTATGAATTTTGTTATATTATAATAAATTAATTAACAGTATCCAAAAATTTCAAAATATTATTCTTCAAAATAAAAATATGGGTTTACAAACATAATTTGCCGAGTTTTGGCTTTTAGCATAAAACTTGTTATTCGTTGATGTATTTTAGTTGATTTAGAAATACATATATAATTTACAAGTTTTCATAAAATTTATTGATTAAATCTAACATCTAGACTTTAATTACTATTTGCAAATGTATAAGTTTTACTTTGAATTTTATTATTTGTATTTTTAATATAGAAATCATTCTAAATCCACTCAAATTTACTTTAAAATCAAGTTTGTAATTTTAAAATTATAGAACCAATAACAAAAGATTTGAATACAGATTTTAAAATTATAGAACAAATAACACATGATTTGAATACACATTTAAAAATGACGCAAGATGACAAGAGTAATCCACAGACAATCTATATAGTATATTGAACATAGTATTCTATATAGTACATGATCCTCTATATAGAACATCTAGTACATAGTATACAATACTTTTCTTTACAATATGATTACATCATTTGGCACCGGCAGTACATCAAGCAGAATTATGTCACATTAATTTAGATTGCTTTATGTTTGGTGAAATTCAATAAATGAGCGACCAATAAAACCAGCGGTTTAACTTTACGCAGCACAAGTAGATTTACGTTACAATCATATAATATAAATTTATATTAGTACTAACAACTAATAAACAATTATAATAATGAACACTAATTTTCAATATCAATAGTTTGAAAATTTTATATATGCTGTTAATGTGTATAAACTCGATTGCGTTGTTTAAAAAAAAAAATATATATATATATATATATATATCCAGATTTTATATAACTACGCAATAAATAAAAACAAGAAAATATTTGTGTCAGTATTGTTGTACATTGGAAGAATTTCAAACGTATTTGGCATATTATCTGTCTGCAGGCGAAACTGGAACATGTCCGAGTATATATTTATATATATGTCACATGTTATTAATTTGTGTTTACATGTTGGGGTCGTTATACTTCGACATATTATATATATCTACCACTACAAGAAAACATTACAATTTTCTACACAAAATATTGTAGTTAAATGGTAGGAAACAGTCATTTTCTATACATAGTCTTTGTTCAAGATTTGAGTAGGGTGGGTGATTTACTCTTAAGAGTTTTTCCGTTTTTGATATGTTCGTTTTTATCTATACAATGCATGTAATTACTCCCAAATTTGTGCTTTTCGTCTGTGCTTTTACAAATAATTTCGGGGAAAAAATCCATGATTACCTAAATTTTGTATATCATAAAAGATTTTAATAGTACAGTATAACTAAGAATCCAAACTTTGATATATTTGTATTTAATTATTTTATTTGTATTTATTCAACTCTAATTGAATATTTACTACATATTCGTTTGTTAAAAAAAAATGTTTATTGAAAATTACTATCCAGTTTATTATTTATACGACATTTGACGTACATGTTGCATAATATTGTTAACCGGAAGCTCATGAACCAAATCGTATTTATATACAATAGTCAAATTTCTCACCATTTTAGACGTCTATGCTGGCAAACCAAAATCGTATACGAATCCAACCTATACCAACATAATCCTCAAGCCATTTCCAGAATCTATTGTTCATATATATATAAATATATATTACATTTTTCGAAAGTTCTTGCTCCTAAAGCTTGCAAAATAAGTAAAAGTGCTTTTTCTTTTTGTTTTTTTGGTTCTAGTAAATACATACTTTATTTGCTTGGATCTTTTTTTTTTTGGTGTATAGGAAAGAAGTCCGGCTGCGAGGTCTGAATATGGTTTGATTTTTTTTTTTTTTGTTATTGTCAAGAGTATGGTTTGATTGTCCATCTTTTTGCTTTATTTGTGGTTTTATATGATGTGCACTCAATTTGATATTCTTTTTAATTTTGGTTGAAATATTACTCCCCAAAAACAAAGCAATTAATAAACTGGAAAAGTATAGGCTTACGATTAATGAAAAGAACAAATAATAGGAAGCAATTGATGGTTACCTGAAAAGCAAACAATGGTTGATTATCTTTAGGTAAACTTTTTAGCTGACTTGTAACCAATTGAGCAAAAGCTGGATTTGGATAAACCAAATCTCCAAGTTCCTCCAAAGTGTACTCACTCGCCGCCGTCACAAACCCAGCTCCAGCACCGTTACAGTCAACATCTAACCGTCCAGAGCTAGGGTTCAGGCGAAGTCTCCCGGCCAAGAACTCATAAACATCAATGGCTCTCACCAACGCTTTTCTCAGCTTCTCCGACACAATCTCCGGAGAAAAATCCTTCTTTGGTCGGAAGAAATGAACCGTTTGGACATCAAAGTTGAGAATTTGGTCGACATTGGACAAGAACATGGATTTCCCCTGATTGGTTAAGGTTTCTTCAGAGGGGAAAATGAGTGATGATTCTTTGATCGTCACTTTGAGATCTTGCAGAAGCAATGATGAAGATTCTTGGTACGAAGTACCCATTTTCCCACAATCTTTCTCTCTCTCTAGATCTCTAATTTAATTGTGTTTTGAGTGAAGTTGGTGATTTGGGTTTGTAGGTTAATCTATATTATATAGACTAACACATGGTGAGAGATGGTTATTTGCGTGTGAATTATAGTATGAAATTATCCATGGTTAGTAATATGGATTCCACATTAAATGTGATTTTTTAAAGCATAAGATTTTTGTAACGACCCGGTTTCACAAACCAGGCCCGTTTGGAAAATTCAATCCCGACTAAGACGGTTTAAGTTCATTTCCTATTTCTCGATATTTCTTTTTTCCTTCGAGTGATAATTAATTCCTGATTTAGATAAATATTACATTTTTAATGTGATATTAATGAACATTTTCCTAAATGAATTGTGAATATTCTTATTCATAATTATTTTTTCTTTTTTCGTGGTTATCTTTACTTTTTACCCAAGTCTCCCATTGGATATAAATAGAGAGTCCTTCTCATTCTTTTTCTTCATTCTAAACTTTCCAGAGAACAGAGAAATTCTAGAACTCTCTTCTCTCTCTTTTCCGGCGCCGTAGTGCTCTCTCTCCGCCGTCTCTCTCTCCTCTTTCTTTCT